GAGATAAAGTACTATCATCAGGAGCCAAAGCTGATTTCTCCGGCATTAACTCGACCCGCCATGCTTGAAGGAAGAGAAATGCTGAATATGACTTAATATTCTCTCCCACAGTCAAGCATGGAAGAGAAAATATTATGCTTTGGGGCTGTTTTTCTGCAATGGAACAATTTTACCACATACTGTAAAATCTAGGACAAAAAAACCTTCTCCCAGACAGAACACTAGTTCTGTCATTGTTGTTTCTGTCATTGTCACTGTCAAGTCATTGTCTCAGCATGCTAATGAAACAAAACATAAGATAAGATAACTCTTTATTGTCATTGCAAGTTATACCTAGTACAACAAAATTGGAACAGGGGAACAAAGGAGTTCCCCTGTTCCAAGAAGAAGTAGAGCACATTCAGATAATGCCTAGTGAAACTCCAGACTTCAGTTTTATAGAAAATCTGTGGAAGGAGCTGTCAAGTGGCAGCAAAAAACTTTCTGTAAAGAGGAGTGGGCCAAAATGTGTGCAAACCTGGTGACCAACTACAAGAAATGCCTTACCGCTGTGCTCGCAAACAAGGGATTCTCCACTACGTAATAAATCAAGTTTAGCTTGGGAATCCAATACTTTTTTCACTCAATGGCCTAAAAATTCATTTTCTCTTGTGTAATTTTTCTGTATTTTTGCTTGATCTTCAGTCTCTCCGTCAAAGTGAATCTACCATTAAGACTGTTCATTTCTTTGTAAATGAGCAAACCTAAAAGTTCATTAGGGGATTAAATGATTATTTTCCTCACTGTACTTACACTGATAGGAAAGCTAACCTGAAACTTAAGCACTGACGTGTGAGGTTATACTAATTATGGGACAGAGGAATGGGACCAAGATGTATGAGGGGAAAAAAGAAAGAACAGTCCTTACAAAAAGCTGTACACCCTCTGATCCCTCAGAGGAGAAGAGGCTGACCCTGGGAGAGTTTGATGAAACAAAATATTTTGGAACTGGAATAAAAGCACTGCAGCACTCTTTTTGGGTTGAGTGCCACATTTAAACTTGCATATCTAAAGGTTCTTATATACTTCATTGTATAAGGAAAGCTGACAGCCAAGCAATTCTATATCAGTGGAGAACCAATTCCAGCAGTCTTAGAGAAGCTCATAAAGAGCCTGGGACGTTGGGACAATGCAGACCTCAATGACACGTGGCAACTAGAACAACTAAGGCAGAACTTTGCTGATGACCTCAAGCGGATTAACAACACTGCACTCCCAGGGAAACTGAAGCTCTGGTGCTTCCAGTTTGGGTTATTACCCAGACTACTGTGGCCGTTGACAATGTACGAGGTCTCACTCAATCATGCCAATCGACTAGAGAGGCTAGTGAGCTACTACGTTAAGAAGTGGCTCGGACTTCCCAAATGCCTCAGCAGTGTTGGACTCTACAGCGACGGGATACTGTCATTGCCTATCCCTAGCCTGGTTGAGGAGTTTAAATGTGCAAAAGTGAGGTTTGAGATCTCACTCACGGACTCCCGGGACCCCATAGTGAGAGGCACTGCTCCCACCCTAGCAACGGAGAGGAAGTGGACCGCAGCCACATCTGTGCTACAGGCGAAATCTGCTTTTTGGCATCGTGACGTGGTGGGTAACGTCCAACAGGGCAGAGTAGGATTTGATCTTGGCGCAGTAGAACCTCGGTGGCAACAGGCATCTGTAACCGGACGTCGAAAAATGGTGGTGGAGGAGGTGCGTCGACAGGAGGAAACAGCCAGGCATGCCAGAGCCGTGGCACTGGCCAAACGGGGTCGCTGGGTGAATTGGGAGAGTGTGGAAAAGAGGAAACTCTTATGGAGTGAAATCTGGGGCATGGAGTCTAATAGACTAAGTTTCATCATCCAAGCGACATATGATGTGCTACCTTCTCCAATAAATCTGCTGCTGTGGTTTGGAAAGGACCCATCCTGCCCCCTGTGTACAGTCCCAGCAACACTCAAGCACATCTTGGTTGGTCTAGCCTTACTCAGGGCTGATAAATATGGAGACACAACCAGGTCCTCAGGTGTCTAGCCGAGAAAGTTGAGTGCAAAAGAAAATCCATCAACGCTCAACCTTTCACGAACCAAGAGGAGCGTCAGTTTTCATCAACATTTGTCCGGGAAGGAGACAAGCCGAGGACAAGCCCCTCAACCCCAGACCTGGGCCCGCTGAAGGTTGCTAGGGATTGGCAGATGCAAGTGGACTTGGATCAGAGGCTAATTTTTCCCACAGAGATCGTAACAACAACTTTGCGACCAGACCTCGTCCTTTAGTCTAACCCCCAAAAACTAGCATACGTCACTGAGCTGACGGTACCATGGGAGGAAGCAATTGAGGAAGTGTTTGAGCGTAAGAAGCTGGGGTATGCCAACTTGGCAGCTGAGGCAGAAGACAGAGGCTAGAAGATCAAGGTGCGCCCGGTGGAAGTGGGATGCAGGGGCTTTGTTGCCAGCACAACAGCAAAGCTGCTTAGAGAGATTAGGATCAGAGGACAGGCGCAACGGCAGGCTATAAGAGAACTAGCTAACACTGCTGAGAGGACCAATCACTGGCTATGGCTAAAAAGGGCTGACATCACTTGGTCAGCTAACCGCGAGAAAAAATAAATATTCCGCTCTTCTCCCCTCTACTCTTCTTCCCTTTTCTGGGAGGCAGTGGGGAGGTAGAGCGTACAGCCCGATCCCGCGGGGAGGTGTGGGAAGCCAGATCGGGCGCCCCCTTCCGGCTCTCCTCTCTCCTATCCTGTCCCTTTTGTCTCTATCACCTTTTCTATCCCTTTGAAGATGTTAGGCTCCATAAATGCTGAAGAGGTAAGTATTATTTCTCAGTTGCAGTGAATAGATAGAAAATAAACTGTAGGAAACTAAACAGAAGAAAGAAGAAGAGAAATAACAAGTTAACATGAACCACTGACACACTCCAGGGCCTGATCAACCCTGGCAGGGCCTCCGTGGATGAGGGTGTCTAGGGAAAATGGCCGAAACACCCGATGAATCAAAGGTCCACTACTGATGATGTGTCCCAAATTTTAAAATGACAAGCTACATCAGATCTCTAATCCCTCAACCTAACCAAGGAAAGAAAATGGCAGATTAGCCCGGGTAAAAGACCGAAAGTTGAGGCACACATTGATGCATGCTGCTGGCAAAGTTTCTGGGCCGCCTTTCCTCATAACAGCCATCCCTCAAGAGTCTCTCCATCTAAAGCAATGCATTATCAGGGACTGTAACATCTAGTCCTTTTTACTGAATCATCGATGCATGCTCAATCATCCAGGTAAGGAAAGTTTACTTTAAAACTACTAAATGTAGTGTGTTAAGTATTATATAACTGAACTCATACTGTTCTTGTACTGAACCACCAGTGTTGATTAATATATCCAGAAATATCAAGAATGCTAAGAAAACACAGACTCCACCAGTAAGAATTTCATTTTTGGAGCTGCTTGTTGGGAGACCGCTTATAATTTATGTTAACACAAAGCAGATATAATTTAATAATCCCTTGCAGAACAGCAAAAAACACAGCAATGGGATCAAAGTGGCAAAAAAGTTACCTGCTCTGTTGAGGAAGAAGCCTTCAAAAACCACAAAGTTATTGACCTGGACAGAATAATAAGAAAACAGATCACTAAAATTTCTTATGAAGTTAACTAGGTAAGTAGATAACCATCTGTGTCCTGATAGCCCCTGCGTTTCCAGTCTTAGTGGTGTGTCCACCAATAACATCCCTACACTGTAACCTATGATGTAACCTGATATGCAACTCCTGAGAAAGGTAATTGCAGGTCAGGTTGACACAATTGGCAATAATTTTGAATGGGTTGGTCAGCACTGTCAATTCCTCCTGTGCATTTCCAGCTACTTTTTCAACGCAGTTTTAGAATTTATCAGTAAGAGAATAACAATCACAGTCTCAGTGTAAGGAATAATAATGATAGCATCAATATAAGGACTCACAAATGTCAGAAAATTCCTGGTGAGAGATGAAACTACCTGAATGAGGGAATGCACAAAAAAGTGGAAAAACTAGAGGGACAAATAGGTTTGCCCCCAAAAAACTGATCACATCAACAAGCAAGAAGCTAGGAAGGAATTTTTTCTGTCTGTTGGCTGCATATGAAACTTTGGGAGATGGCCCAATGATAATATACCCGCCACTTACAGTTACGTTATAGTCTCTAAAAGGTCTACATCAGGCCTTTGTAATTTCCTCATTTGAACTTACAACTCATCTCATACATAGTCTTTTGGGATCCAAGTGAGTAACTAGCTTATATTCTGTATACATCTTTTAGGTCCATCTCACTGTGCTTCTTCTGATATCAGTGCATGCACAGGTGTCACTTTTCAAATCAGGGATTTCCTGATTTTTTTTAATGTATAGGAAGATTGAGAGTAGTAATTAGTTGATAATGTCAATTTCTATGAATGGAATCCAGTATAGAAACTCTTGTTTGATCTTTGGCATGAAACGGCAAAACTAAATTTCATTAAAAACACATGAAAAGCAGGCTGATAACTCCCCCTTTGTCAGATGAGTTACATGTGTATTTTTACTGGAACCCTACTGTTTAAATTCAAGTAATGCAACTACTGTAAGGTGATATAATTTTGACTAATTTGAATTGTACATTGGATGTTTTTGTCTTGTGCTGGCATTGTTTTCTTATTTTGGTCCCTTCTCTTCTCAGTCAGTGTCTTATCTAAATTTACCTTGACATAAGAGGAAAAGCTATTAACTGATTATATTATATAAACAGGGGGTACCCTGTCTTCCCAGAAATTCCACTACAGATAAACTTGTAAACAACCATTTATTTTACAATAGAGAAGTAGCAGTATTAAAAATAGCCAAAACTGAAGAGAAAGAGGAGGGAGCAAGATTACCCTAATTATAGCCATGATAACAAGCGAAGCCCCACTAAAAGTCAAATGAAAAACTACAGGGTTTTCTTTTGCTCTCTAGAGGTGATAAAGATTCAAATTTGCTTTAAAAAAGTGTAACGACTGTGTGAAGTGCAGCCCGTACCTGAGGAACACTCTGCGTGAGGCAGTAATGCTTTGCCAGGAAAGACAGGAATTTAGGTGAAGGCCTGTCATAAGCCATCAGCACTGGCTCTAAATTCTTGTGCTACAGGTGGGAGATGGAGAAAGACAGAGAAACAAAAACATGCAATTACCGATAAACACACACAGCAATGACCTGCAATACTAGTGTCATCATTTTAGGTACCACTATCATATCATTCCAGTTTTTAGCTCTTTTTGTGAAAGGTCTGATGTTTCAGATGATTTCAGGGATTCCTAAAGTATTCTCTACCTGCAGCATGAAGTTAAATAGCTCAAGCCCATAGCCATTTCGCTGCAGGTTCTCTGCTATGTAAAAATCCAAAACACAGAGTGGTTCTGCCTCTACGTGCACACCCTGCCGGTCCTGTGGAGGAAATATAGCAAGCATGCCTGAAAAGCCTTTCAGAAAGTCAAATGCAGATCACAGCAAGGCCGAAAGGAAAGAATTTAAAAGGAAATTTTAAAAAAATATAAGTGACTCACCAGCAAAAATAACTTCTTGTAGCCAACCTTCAGAAATCCCACTACCACACCACGTCCCCTGTAGTTAGGAGACAGGAATAGGGGTTAGTTTTTTGATTTGGATGCTCTGAGGTGAGCTCCTGTGATATGCATTAAAAACTGTGTCTTTTATGTCTCAATGCTACAGTACATGATTTGTTATTTCAACATGACTCATCTGACCAGGTCCCGCTGGAAAACACCAACTCAGTCAATCCAGAGAGAAACAGAGAAGCTGAATAATAAGTGAAAGCTGAGGAAGGGATATGAGATGTACCCGCTGCTCTCTCCATCCTTAAGAAGATAGAGCTGATGCTTCTGGGTCTGCAGCTTGGAAGCACTTGTTATAGGTGCTGTGAGCTGTTGGGCCTG